CCTGGAGCGAGCGAAGAGAGACCCTGGTTGGGTCTGGTCACCTGTCTCCCAGAATCTGGGAGATGACAATTAAATTATTGAAGGGATGAGCGGCCTAGTAGGAATTTTGTCTATACTTAGCCCACGGGAGTGTGGTATGTGTTGTCACCAAAGTAAACCAAGAACGATATGATGTTCTGCGGCAATGTCGATCTGGCGCTAATATTCTGTGAACACCGAGGAAAACTTATCCATCATTTGATAGCGGAAACTCAAGTCGCTTAAGGTTGTATGCTTCAGTGAAGGACGTTACATATTGTGAAAATCTCCTCAAGAATGCGAATGGAGAATTGCACACCGCAGCAGAGGCTGTGTATGGAAGATCTTTGACTCATTTTTACCTCAGAATGAAGTGTAGGTCTTGTAAACAGCGATTAAATAATTTTAGAGAATTCAGGGCCTTTTAATTGATCACTGAAAACCAAAGTCACTTCGAGTTTGAAAGGAGCAAAAGGGTGAAAAGATTTATTGAAGTGTCACCGCGCCGTCAGTGCCCTGAACTTTGCAGAGCGTGAAGGATAATACAATGAACTCGTGGTGGTATGCATTTTGCTGTCGTTGCCGATAAACTGGATTTATCTTTGACCGAAAGGAGGCTAGAAAAAGAAAAATATAATTTTTATTGTGTCGTTAATAAAGAAGTATACGTGACTCCAATGGTTCGTGACAATTGTGCACATTCTCATTTAATTTTCGATCTCTCAACCTCTCTTTGCTTCAAGCGTGTTTCTGAGGGGCACTTTTTATGTCGTGTTATTAGAAGAAATGGAAAATATAAGTAGAGTGGAGTCATTTGATTGTGTTACAGCATATTTTTAGAGGTCGTAGGTCTGCATGGTTTCCACTGTTAACTGCACGTTGTTTCTCAGAGTTTGACACCTCTGTAATTTGTCATGCCGTGCTTATACTTTGTTTAGGTTCGTTTCTATTTTAAGGCTCTAAGTATTGGTTCTCCAGGTACAAAGATTAAAATATTCTGTGAACATATTTGCTTACTTGCATTCTACATTGTGATGCCGCAGGTAACGCCGGGCCCGGCTATTTGATTAGAACTGTTTTCAAGCACAGTGCGTTGCACGAATATCATGTTTGTCTTCGTCCAGCTTTTCTTCAGAGACTGCCGTAGCTTTACTTTGAGAACACTATACGTTTTCTTAGAGACATTCTTATGTTTTTTTGCATCAATTTGACCGAGTGCATTCAAAGAAGAAACGACAATTACTACTGGATGAAACTGCGCTGCTTGACGTCTCCAGTTGAAATATGACTGACTTTCCATAAATCCAGTGGGTAAGACGGCAACACTGAAAATCGCAACTTGACTCTGGAAAGCTGGTACACTAACCTAGAACAAATGCCTCTTAACAGATGTCAACAACTACCGGCGCCCTAAAAACGACTTATCCATGACGGAAATGAAACTGACAAACGGACTTCTAACAGACCGACTTAACGATACACGGACCAAAAACCGACCTATTTGACTAACAATAGACGGATCGAAACCCAACAATGACTGATGACAAACTTCACATGAGTCTTTCAGCCAATACCATCATGGCTATACTGACCAATCACGTTCAACGGACTAGACTTATAACATCATCGACTGACAAACGCTATTCACTTGACTCTGAAGATGACTTCCACTCAGGATGTCGAAACGTCAGTCACCAACAACAGTTCTTTTCAGAACTATACTCACCCAGACGATCACACTATACGAACTATTGACAAAATGTCCAGTTAAACTTCTGGTTGGTCTCTGAACTGATTTATTCATTGCCTGTGTACATGTAATTGTTTATGATAGCAAATCAACTAGTAGAACTGGCATGGTGATTGTCTGGCAAACAGGCTGACTAGCAGGTTAACTCATTGATAAACTGATATGTAGACTATTTGACATACTGACCAGGTGAACTTCTGTAGCAATGAAGTAAGTAGCAATGAGTGCTTCCCTTGGGCAGTTTGTTAAGCAATTGTACAGGGCAAGCAAGGTGATTGAGTGACTAACTGACTGACTGAAAACTGGCAACTGAATATACTAACAGATAAAATGATTGGCTGAATTGCAGACAGACACTGACAGACCAACAGATCAACAGACAGGGAGACAGACAGACTGGCAGACAGACTGACTGACTGACAGACTGACTGACTGACAGACAGACAGACCTGTAGACAGACAGACAGATAAACTGACCGACTGACTGACGTCATAGCTGACTGATTCACAGACTATTTGAGATCATGTCAACAAGACATCAACACTGTGTTGACTAAATTCCCTCTTAGATAACTGAAGGCCATACAGGGGTGTTCTTGTGATGCGTGATTAGCTGATTTTATTTTCCGTGAAAATTGAATTTAGGAAATTATTCTTCGTGATCTGTGACTTGGTTTTGCGTGACCTGTGAAGAACTTGAATTGGCAACTGATATAGAGTGTGTGTATTGTCATGCAATAGAAAATAAAATCAAAAACCATATTTGTTGAAATGTTCTGCGCAAAATTATTATAGAGCCTACTATGGAGCCGCCATGTTGGAGGACCTCCTTAGTCCTCCAATATGGTGGACAGAAAGTAGTGTAAACATCCGGAACTTACTTTGGCTATCTAGACAACTGATTTTCTGAACTGAACCAAAAAACATTTACACATTCCTAATAACTTTTCCTAATACTTTAACTCCTAAAATGGCTAAAAATTACGAGATAAGTGTATATTTTTCGACAAACGTGATCTTAGCTTCATGTCACGCACTGCCATAACTCCAAAATTCAAAATGTGCTGGTTTCAAAACAAAGGATGCTATTGAGTTGGAAAGTTGTAAACAGACATAAATTTAGTTCCTCTTACCTCTGTATGCCTGGTGAGGATAAAACCTTTAGTCTTGGATTTGAGAATTTGATGACGTCACATGCACACACTCTGTTCAAGATTTAATCACTCTATTCTACGTGATTTTGAGACGCAAGTCCTCCAGAAGATTTATTAAGACTGAAAACATCAAATGTGACCTCAGTATAATTATTGTAACATTTCATAAGGCATCTGAAACAACCAACTAACAGACCTTTCCTTGATGTCCTTCACTTGATTTTCAAAAAATTGCGCATGACCTAGTAACAATGTTTAGAGTGTAAGGGCAGGTTATTAAAGAGAGTGCCTTGCTTGCTGATTTTTGTGATTCAGGAAAATGAAATTTTGATATCCATAATCTGGGATTCGCTATTTTTTCCATTCATGAACTGTGTAACCCTCTTTAAGTGTAACGTTAAGTACATGGTAATAATTATAAAACCTTGTATAAAATTATCTCTTAGCCTGACAAATAAGCTTTCTTTCTTTTCCAGATCAGATGCCAACAGGGACAAAGTGGACTAAATCTTCAAGCATTTATCTTAAGAAGGGCTGCATGTTCTATTTTGCAATCCAACACTTGG